TGATACAACCATCCATCTAAATTAAAAAAAAAAAATTGTGTCACATATATGTATGCAATAAATTTTTATGTACTTTTTTCAGGTATTGTAGCTTATCTGACTTCCAATGAGTGTTGAGTTTTAACATCTATCCAACCAGGGCCCGTTTTACAAAAGAACTTATGACTAAGATCAAAATGTTATTATGCAAATAAATTTCTTTTATGCATTACTTTAAAAATGTTTTAAATCTTTTTGAAAAAAAAAAAAAAGATAGTTTTATGCCAACAATTTTTAACAGAAACAAAAGTTTTGTAAGATTTTATGAACAAGTAAAGTTTTTAGTCTTAGTAATAAGTTTTTTTGTAAAACAGTTCCTGCTACAGCTTAAAAAAATATGTTCCTTTAGGCCAACTCACCCCACAACTTAAAGCCTTTATTATAGTGATTTGTATATCTGTTCTGATGCATGACTTTGTAGTCTGTAAAGCTTAGGTAAAGCTTTTACAAGTATATATACACATGTACTAGTAGAAATGACATTCCTACAATTAATTAAAATTAATATTGTAAATTATAGCCTAGCTATCCTTAACAATTGTTGTTCACCTTGTTCATAACAAAATGATTCCTGCTTTTTTTTTGGGGGGGGGGGTGGAGGGGGACTAAACTTCTGTAAGCAGTGTCTGTGAAGTGAAAACTTTAATTAAAAAAAATATATTTAATGAATTCTAAATCCCATCTAACAACTTAGACCATTGGTGCATACAAGTTCGACAAGTTAACACTTAACAGGTTAAGGACTGGCATGTTTTTGACATAATATATTTCATATTGTTTTCAAACTCATATCTCGTTTTCAAACTCATATCTCATCTTCCTTTTACTCTGTATGTGGTATAAAGTAAAATATTTGACTTGCAAACTCCGTAGTCATGCTCTAAAACGTTCATTATCTGATACGTTTTTTTCTACTTTCAGTTTAAAATAAAACGATCTTTCTGATTGTTTCTTATATCATTTAATTTACCAATGTAATTATGTTTGATTAAACTGGCGAAAAGAAACTGGACCAGGGAGTCCAAAGCACAACTAATCCGTTTTCCAATCCCCCACTGTCATTGCAGTCACAGTTGCACATGCTTTTATAGTTATCTGCCCTTGTTTCAGTTTTGTTCGATTCTACTTTCACTTTCAATGTAAACACACTTTACTACTGTTTAGGATGAAAATATCATTATTTACCGATTTATACAAAATGAGAGGAAAGAAGTACTTTGCACTTGATTATTTGTGAGGGTAAATACAACCACCCATCTAAAAATATATCGAGTGAGGACAACCACCCATACAAATTTAATTGCTCCAGACCCACTACCCATACAAAAATATATGAAGTGCCGTCCAACCCTCCCGTACATTTTTTCCTGGAATAGCCCTTAATTTATTTCATTTAAATTAATTAGAAGTTACATCTATCTGAATATCAGTACTTAACTTTCATAAGATGTGATAGAGATCATTAACAAAACATTTCACTCAAGTTTTCTGGACATTACACATAAAGAGTTCAATATCATTACCATAACATCTATATAGTATCCATCCTTTGTTACGTCTGAATGGAAATCATTGTGTCCAGATTGAAAAATGATCGCTTTACATTGCATTGTGATGAAATTACAAAGTTATTTCAATCTATAATAACCATTATGGTCATGTAGCATGATAATTCACAAGAAACTGTGTGATATTGTTTGATTATTGTGTCTAAATCTGATAAAAAATTACATTCGGACGAACACACATTCGCCCATAACTTACCGACTTCAGTGAAATAGACACCTATTTCTCCTTGCCTCCACCCATCTTGTAAACAGACTGGCTTATGGTAAGCACGTGATGCACTGACATTTTCTTCCATCTCAAGACATGTATGTCGTAAAAGGGGCCCTACAAAGGTTCGATGATCGAAAAAATCGGTTTTATTTTTACAATTTTCACCCGTAACGTAAGGACAGACAAAGGAGAAGATTTAATAGATTTAACATATTTGACAGAAAAACAATGTTATATGGAGGGAAATGAATTTTATAATGCAAGAAAGTGCTTATCTATGGTTGAAAAGCAGCAAGAAACTATTAATGCACATGCAACATCTGTGAATTTAAATCTTTTTGCTCAGGATAAATTGGACGGACAACAATTTTAATTTTAATTTTTATTAAAGACGGTTTCCATGACAACTAGAAAAATGGATTTGTATTGAAGAAACATCCGTAGTAAAATTAGCAAAAACACTTTGTCTGAAGATTCAGATTTATAGGCTCATACAACCCTTCAAGATAAGACCCTATATGCAATGTCACATTTCACATTTCAAAAAAAGAGTAAAGTTGACACTAAAAATTGAAGAATTTTCTCTTTGGGTGACTTTGGCTTATAAAATTGTTTGAAATATATCTCTAACCTGTAAAGCATATTATTTTTGTGTCTCAGGTTTATTAGTTTATGTAGAAAATTAGTAAAATAACTTTTTCATCAGCCACCCAAAATTTACACCTGACTGAAAACTTCACCATTAGTAAACTGGCAAACCTCATTAAATCGAGTTGTTCGAACGTTACAAATGAACTATAACTCCGTATCGACCATGTATTAATTTTAAAGCGACTAGGTATAAGTAATACACCCCCTTCACGTGACATACTGAAACCAATCGGAAGCCAGGATTCATCAAAAAATCAACAGAGGTGGGGTAATAGTTGTTCTACAACAAGCATCCCTGATTCCATGAATCCATTCCCGGCAGATGCAACTAATATTGCAGGGTAATTGCAGCAATATGATTTGGGTAATTTAGAAAGCTTTAATAATGAGTAAGAAAAAAAATGATTTGTTATAAATCATGTCATATTATTCCATCTTCAATGGCTATTATGAGTAGGATGTTCTCCTATGTCTACCTTTAAGGCAAAATAAAAAAGGGAAATACAGGATGGTCACAATGGCAACTTTCAAAGATTATAAAAAGTTAAAAATGTGGAACTGTGTCTTATTTGTTATTTCATAGTAAATATTTTGAATAAATGATGTTACATTTGCTTATACATTTTATTTTACCTGTCAATTAAGGGTAATTTCAATCTTATTGATTTTTCCCAGTTTGACACAAAAGTCGATGATTTTTCACAATTGTAAAAGCCCAGGCCCCTATTAAAAAATGTAGAAAAATCACTGATGTTGTCAACCAAGTTGAGATGAGTTTATGCTATACATATTGAATGTGCTGTCAACCAAATTGAGATGAATTTATGCTATATATATTGAGTATGTTGTCAATCAAGTTGAGATGAGTTTATGCTATATATATTGAGTGTGTTGTCAACCAAATTGAGATGAGTTTATGCTTATTTATATTGAGTGTGTTGTCATGGGTATTGAAATCCCAAGCTTTTATCACATTTCAAACTACTTAAAGCCTTCACTGGACCTAATAAGCAGCCATGATGTACTTGGGGGTACTTCCTGCCAGTTGTGCTGCACCTAGCAGGTCAATTCCTAAGTATTAACTCATTTGTTGGTTTACAGACTGGTTTTCTCACAGGATATCAATTTCAACTGTTGCCCTTCAAAACGTGCAATATTTATATTATGATATAATACCACATGATATGAAGTTTAAGCCAATTGTTAAATTTGTCTCAAATGGGATGAATTTACATTCCACAAAATGATTTTCTTATGTAATTCATCATAAAGCAAGTTGTTTGTGGAGGAATGACCCAAATGTGACATTACCCAACAAAGCATATTACTATATACAGTAAATACGCTTATAACAAAGTGCCAGGGCAGGAATTTATAAATACTATTTTATCTACTGTTAAAGAGTACGGTTTCCTTTGGGAAAAAATGTCAAAATTCCCTTTTCATGACAACAAAATTCCCAATTTAACATTCATGCTTTTAAAAAAAAAAATTATTATGCCACTCTTCGAAGAAGGGAGGGCATATTGCTTTGCTGCTGTCTGTCTGTCGGTCGGTCTGTCTGTCTGTCTGTCCACCATTTTCTTCGCAGAGGTTGCACATACTGAATTGAAATTTGGTATACAGATTTATCATAAGAATATCTAGGTCAGATTCTGTTTTGGGTAGGATCGAGCAAATTTTGACAGCGTTATGCCCCTTGGACTTAGAAAAATCCAATTATTTGCAGTTTCTGTTCATTTTCTTTGCAGGTTTCACAAACATCTCTTGTTTATCATACTTCTAGAAATGACCCCCAGATTAGCTCTCAGAATGCAGATTACTGTAACAATTTTTTTGAAAATTTCCAGGGAGGCATGCCTTCAGAACCCCATAGTATATGGAGATCTCCAGCACTAATTTTGAGCTATCATTCTAATATTTCCCCCTTTATATGAAAAGAGTAGTCAAATAAAATCGGTAGATAAATCCCTGTGGGGGCGGATGATTTTACTTCATTATAAGTATAATACATTATATCTGTTAAATTTACAATATATTTTAAAGTCACGGGGAATGAAAATCACTTTGTTGTAAGTGTCAATTCATTAAAAGGGCGTTAGCTGAAAGCATGTTTTACTGTATTTGAAACTGACAATTTTTTTTAATCACCAGTAAGTGTGAAGTTAATGTTTAGTTGGAATTTTTAACAAGACGCAAATTTAGCGATTTGTCCCTAAAAATCAGTCTTTAATTTTAGTGAGAAGTTATCTTAGCAATTTTATGTTTCATATAAAAATAATGGTAATGCGGAATAAATTGTTAGTGATACAGATATTTAATTTTAGCGATCTCAACATCCTCACTAAAAATGCCAAAATTGAATCCTTGCTAAATTTCGTGCTTATATGGTAGGTGATAATTTAGCATTTCCCAAGAAATCCGAAGAAATT